TTTGAAAAGAGTCTTTGAGATGTTTTGACAACTTATAAATGACATAAGTAATCCTTTTGAAAATTTTTTATAACAAACAATTACACAATTAACATTGTGTTCAACTTGTATTCCCCCCCTTAAAACATTTAAAACAGTTAAAAGATTCATTACGGGGTATGAACTCACCTGATGTGGGTGATTCAACGAATACGCGTGTAAGGATGAGGAGTTCCACGAATGAAGTCCCGAGACTTAACGACTCCTAAAAGACATATAATGGCATATATTGACATAAATATAGTGTTTAGAAGCAACCAAATGCAAGGAAACACCTCACGTGACTAGGAAACACTTTGACCAAGTGTTGGAATCACATGTGATTCACTAAAAGGGAGTGTACGGCCACTTTGAGAAGTGTGCGGCCATGGGTGTGCGGCCAGGGGTGTGTGCGGCCGCACACTCATGGTAAAAGTGCACAAAACGTTTTCCAAATGGTAGGGAGGCTTGTAGGACTGATGCTCATCAAGTGTTGAAGCTAGAAAGGCACTTTGGAGGCCCTTAAGCACTAAACAAAGGGGTGTACGGCCACATGGAGTGTGTGCGGCCACACACTCCTTGATGAACATGGTTTGGACGTTTTCTAAGGCTCATATGTAGTAAGTAACAAGCTTGGGGAATGGTACTTACAGTATAGAAGCCTTTAGGGGTGTTTTGATGGTGTTTGGAGGGTGTTGAGGGGTGTACGGCCACATCAGTGTGTGCGGCCGCACACACCATATGTTCTTGAGTTCTGGGCAGTTTCGAGGCCTTAATCGTGTTCTAAACAAGATTCAAGTGTAGGGAAGAAGTACTTACTATCCGGAAGCTTGAGAAGGCCCAAAATCGCCAAGAACAAGTGTGTGTTCTTGGTGTTTTTGGTGAAATGGATGAAGATTTGAAGATCTCGCCAAAACATGATTTTAAATGGATGAAATCAAAGGATGTAACTAGATTATGAAGATTAACAACAAATCAAGTGAAGAACACTTACATTCTTGAAGATCTAGGCTGAAAATCGGATGATAGTTGAGAGAAAATCGAGTTCTAAGCCTTGGAGAGTGAAAAGGGATGAATGAAGGCTAAACCCCTCCTTTGTACACGTGAGTGTGCTGCTAGGAGAGGGGTGTGCGGCCGTACACTCCTAATATTGGAGTGTAAGGCTCGATTTTGGTGCTAGAAGTTTACACGATCCATTTCTATGCTCAATGCTGGAATGTACTGAGCTTTGAACCTTTAAACGGACTCTAAACGAGGCTAAATGATAGCAGAAATGAGTCTGACACTCAGCGGAGTTGACTGGCTGGGCTTTGCAAGGCAAAATTTTAAAAATTTTTAGGTTGTCACATTTTCGATGGAAGATTATTTAGAATAAATAATCTTAAGTAATATATAGTATATGTCACAAAGGTTCCGTACTATAAAGAACGCTGAAATCTGAGTTATAACGAAGAAGTTATGACCTGTTGAAGTTTTGCGGCAAAACCGGCACGACCCGCGTAACGTAAAAAATGAAGTTTTTGTAAATGACTTTTTAGCCTTAGCAATCTAAACGAAAGTCGTAGTATACGTTAAACCGAGAACGTGCATAAAAAGAACGTCCAAATTTGATTTCGTATGAGGAAGTTATGATTTTTCTAAGATTTAGCATAGCGGTGCACAACCCAAAATTCGAATTTTAGATCGATCGATTTTTAGCTGAAACAACCAAAATGAGAATTGAAGATCTTATTAATAGGATCTCAATGATAAAAATACAGTCGAAAACGTTGTCCGTATGTAGAAGTTATGAATTTTACACGGTCGTTAAACAATGTAATCTTCTCCTACTGTTAAATTTAAAATCGATCGAGAATTAGCTGATGGAGTCAAAAGGAGAGTTGTAGATATTGTCAATACCTATGCGTGGATATAAAGAACGTCGAAAACGGAGCTCGTATTCGAAAGTTACGGAATTTAGAAGTCGGGATGGGCGGATGCGAAGTGGGTGACGTGGCGCGATCTAAGCCATTGCTTCCTCCCCACGCCTTGCCACCAGATGGTGACACCTGGCACCCAACTCGACGAGTTGGAGGCTCATAACTCGCCGAGTTGAGCCATTTTTCAGCCTATAAATACCATGCGAGGTTCACTCATTTTCCTCACACCTCAACCCTTCTCTCTCTCTCTAACTTCTCTATAAACCTCCCCCAACCTGTAGTAACTTCTAAGTGCTAGAGGAAAGCCCTCGGAGCACCAGAAGGATCCGAGAAGAAGATCTTTTCGGCCTCGGAAGTTCTGCCTCCGCAGAGCCTAGTTCTTAGTCAAACCTCCCGGTAAGTGAGTTATGCTTACCCTACTTCAAGTATGGCTTATGTTTAAGTTCATTATTTGTTATTATGAACTTATGAACAATAAATATATTATAAAATATAATATACAAAGTGTTATTATAATATCGTTTAACTACTCGCGGTACGGGGAATCTGGTTTGAAGGGCCGCATAGGGTTGTTGGATTTCAGAAGTGCTATAATGCCAAAATGGTCCTGCCCTCCGGTGTTTCATGTCTGGCCCTTGTCTATGCATAGTGGTTGAAAAGTACTGTTTAACACTAATAAAACAAAAATCGCTCGTAATTAGTCACAATAAATATTAGATTAAAATCTAGTGGTAATAATACTAGGTTTCGTCGAAGGAAATTATATTTTGAAGTGAAGCGTTGTCCAATTTGGAATCACCACTTTAACATGTGAGTGCATAGTTACTTTCATCTTACATATAGATATTAAGTATTTAATATAAATTGCGTGCTATGTGTGCATATTATTTGTGTTCTTGATATCTATGATGGATGAACGATTTATACATGTTTTAAATGATTTAAACTGTATATGTATTTTATATCTACGAATATGTTGGGTTAAGCATGGGTAGATGAATGATGAGGGGTGAAAGATGATATAGATGAATATTGGTAGCTGTGCCACAACCTGTAGATTTTTTTGAACTATGATGTACTCTAAACATCCTAGCAGTTGCGCCTAAAGGATAATATCGACAGCTGAGCCTAATAGAGAACATCATAATCCTGGCAGTTGCGCCTAAAGGATAATATCGGCAGTTGAGCCTAATATAGAACATCATAATCCTTGCAATTGCGCCTAAATGATAATATGGCAATTGCGCCTAATATAGAACGTCATAATCCTGTCAGCTGCGCCTAAATGATAATATTGGCAGTTGTGCCTAATAGATAACATTGGCAGTTGTGTCATAGGCAACGATGGACTTCGTGCCTATTCCTTAGGAGAATCCTTAGGAATAAATGAGTGAATGATAGATGATTCTTAGGGTAGATCCTTAAGAAATAAAAAAGATAATAGGGATGGGTAATTGGGTTAATTGTGTGATGATGAAACAGAATAACTTTATTATTGTGGGTTGAAAACCCTATGTACTCACCAGGTTTCCCAACCTGACCCACTCAGTTTATTTGTATCACATGTGTCGATATGAAGCTACATTACACTGAGAGATTAAAGGAGATATAAACCACTATTGTAAATGAATATAAGGTCTGTTTATGCTTATGTTTATGTATTGACGATGACATCCCAAAATTTTAATATAAACAAAATACATTTCTTCGGAAATGATTTGATAATATATTTATCATGTTTTTCTGGGAACAAATTCCGCAATATTTTTCTTTAAAAAGGATACTTTGATTTTCAAATAAGCATAAATAAAAAATTTTTAAAATGACCGTGAATTTGGGGATGTCACATACTCTTGGAAGTAAGTAGTGATTCAAGATTGTCATGACTATTGGTAGATTGACCATAGTGATTGAACATAGAATATAGATTGTGCTAACACTCATGAGTACTTAATAGATTTTTAAGTATTGGACCAACTCACGCTTAGATATTACTTCATGGATATAGTCACGAGTAATTCTAAGACGATAATATCTTCTATTCTTCAAACCTAGATACATGTGGTGTTTTTCTCTATGATTCTGTTATATATTGGTTTACTCCAACGTTATCTGTAACTGGTAGTTATAAAGGGTATGTTCATGTGTAACATGATGAAATAGACAAAAACTATGTAGTCGAAGTTTATTTGTTCCTTCTGCCTTAACAGGAGAAACGATGTCTATGGGCCCCTCAATGATTTGGTGCTGACATCTAAAGTCCTTGGCCGAGCCCTGACTGAAATTGATGTGGTCAATTTACTAGTCAGATGCAGTCGTCACAAATCTATATCAGGATACATAATCTTGAATTCTGAGATTGACCATTATCCATGTCTCGAGTTCATATAGATATCGTAGAACGAAGGAATAGTCGATCACTTATCTAAGAGTTGAATCTTGATTAGATCAAGAGTTCGGTAGTTGCATTGGATGGCTAACTCTCTGTTGATTATTGGACAAATATTAGACCTCGTATAGTTGATAACGTGTCTAAGTAGGAAACTGTTGGAAATAGTATTCATGGTCATTAACTAATGGTAATATTTCTAATAATAACAGGTTCCTTTTGGATATATCAGGCTTGTTAACAAGTCCTAAAAGGTGGCAGAAATAAAATTTGGCTTTGAGTTTTCTGCTTTAGGTCGTTAATTGTTTCAACTACAAGGTGTGTTTGTATTCAACTTGTGTAGTTCTTCAAGTAACATGTTTTAATGGGAAATAGTTTTGACATTCATATCAATTTGTACTTGAATTTTTGCCTTCTTGAATATCTATTGTTGATTATGGTGGCGTTCAAGTTATATTCAAAAGCTAACTTTTTTCATATATATATAGTGTTTTACTCATTATGCATCATTATGCACCTAATTTACATCTCAATGTCTCAAAGGTTTTCTAAAAACATAATCCTATTTTGTAAAAAAAAAAAAAAAAAAAAAAAAAAAAAAAAAAAAAAAGCGAGAGAGAGAGAGAGAGTTACAAATGGGCATCAACCCAATTCATACAAATATCACAAAAATTCTACCTAAAATTACAAATCAATTGTTTATATAATTTTGCGCTAGGTTTAAGTCCCATTTCCAACATTTCATCATGCAAAATCATGCCTTTTCTCATCTCGTTTTCACGACAATATCCATTAATCATGATCACGAAACTTTCACTAGTAACCAAATTCTTAATTCTCATGTAATTAAAGATTCTTTCCGCATCTTTAACCCTAAAAACCTCCACAAGTCCATTTAGAAGTGCATTATAAGTTGTTTCATCCAAAGTGAACCCTTTTTCCTCCATTTGATCATGCATATTAATGGCTAAATCGATTTGTGTCCTCTTGCAATAATGCTTAACTAAAAAACCACAACACGAAGCTTCAAGAAAGATGGATTCTTGAAAGGCCAAATTCGCAAGTTCTTCTGCTTCTTTCCATTTTCGTTTCTTGCATTGAGAGATTATGTAGTTTGATAATGCCAATGAGGATGGTTTATACCCTTTTGAGATCATATCTATAAGTAAGGTGTTAATTTCTTTTGATGGATATTCGTTGCAAAGAATGTTAATAAACTCGTTATAGAAAACGGGGTTTACTTGAATTCCTCTATTTTCAATAACTTGATGAGTTTCTATTGCATCTTTTACACGAGCTTCCATGGACAAGGCTTGTAGAATGCAACCATAAGTCTTGTTTTGTAATGAGTTTTGCAGATCACATGATATCTTGAAGAACATGTCAGCTGCGTAAGTCTTTCTCATGTTGCAAAGGTTTTGAATCAGTGAATCGCGATTGATTAAAGGTTTTGAAATGTACCCTTTTTCTACCATGGAGTCCATTGTGAATTTGATTACTTCTTCATTCTTATATTTACAAGCACCATTGAGAACTGAAACACAAGTGTTGAACCCAGGATTGAGATTTCTCTTGGACATTTCATCGAACATGTGGAGTGCGACTTCAAACATTCCCATTTCACTGCTACATTCAATCACTAAATCGTATATTAAGGGATCATGCATACCCATATTGATGATTCTAAGCATTGCTTCAATCTTGCCTTGTTTCCCAAATATCTTGGCAAGTATACGCCATGTAAGCCCATCAATTAAAACTCCGTGTCTAATCATAACAGCACAAAAACACAATCCCAGCTTAACCTCATTGTTCTCCTGTAACGCATTAAGCAATGTATTATATGAACGAATCGGAAACACTTCACAAGCATCTGAAGTAAGATCTCTAGTCAGATTAAAAACCTCCAAAGCTTGGAAATACAAACCCTTTTCACAATACCAACCAAGAACACAATCGAATACTACTAAAGATTCTGAACTACAAAATTTCACATCTTTAGCACATGACTTGATCAGATATTGAACAATTTGAGCAGGTGGGTTGTTTTCAAGTAGCGAATTTAAGATGGGCTTTGAAGGATTAACCAAACCAGAACCGATTAAGAGATGGGTCATTCTGCATTGAACAGTGAGGTCTGGTTGAAAAGCAGCGTTCTTGATTGCCCATTTGAAGAAATCTAGTGAGATTTGAGGTTGGGTTTTTGTTGTGTTGAGGATTTGGAGGAAGAGAGATGGGGTCAATTTGGATTTGAGATTTAGGGTTTGGAGAAGTGAAGGCCAATTGTGTCTTTGTAAAAGAATTGATGAGATTTGAGAGACAAAATGAGATTGATTAATTTGGGATCTCCAATTTTGAGTCGAATTTGCTTTGTTATTGGAGAGTGCTTTGATCAAGAGCTTGCTTTTCTGCATAATCTTCAGCAGGGTTTTTGAGTATGGAAAGTGGAAACCAGAAAACAAAGCAGATTTGTCATCAGTTCTTTCTTACTTTTTTAATATAAAATATTTTTAATTATTTATTCAAAAAAAAAAAAACAAAAAAAAAATATATATATGACAGCTGTGGGATTTGAACCCACGCCCTTTCGGACCAGAGCCTAAATCTGGCGCCTTAGACCACTCGGCCAAACTGATGAATTGTTATTCTATGATAACTATAAATTGTGTCTTCAAGTTTGCCTATCTTGGTTTTATTAAATAGTAATTTAATGTTTAACTTATAATCAAATATCTTGTTTGAAGTTATATGTTAGATGCTTGATTACTTGGTATAATCATGGGCGGAGACAGTACCGGGGCTGCCGGGTGTCTCGCCTCCCTAACCCCACGTGTTTGTGAAGTAAATTTGGTTCACCCACCTAAATAACTAATTACAAACTCACTTTCTTTAAAATCAATATGAGTCGTATAAGGGGATAAGATTTAAAACCACCGTTCCAATTTCTTTTAACTACTGCCAACCATCTAAACGTTTAAATTTTCGCTGTTAACTTTTAAAATCGCGAGTTTCAATTTTTGTCTTTAAATGTTGTTGCAATGCAAGAGTGCTAAGTTTTTCGATCGATAACAAACATCAAGGTAATTTTAATTTTTTGTATTTATAATTAATAATGTTTATATTATTAGTAATTTGGTTTTGTGTAATGAGATGATGAATCAAAAGAAATTGAAAAGCCTCTTTTTTTCAAACAAAAAGAAAATTTTCATTATCCACATCACATCTCGTTATTAATAATAATAGGGAATATGTTATACGCCCACAACATAAAAGATTGGTAATGTTGAATAACCAATTAATGTGAACATGAAAAAATAATAAGTCAAATTTAAGTGTTAAAATTTGGTTCTTTGATTCGTGATCGTGGAGAAAGGTTTTCGATCTTATTACAAATGTATGTCTCTTTTATTTTAAAATAATGGCATCGATGTATGCCTCCCTTATTCTAAAATCCTGGCCCCGCCCATTGGTATAATATAAATGTTATTTGTTTGGAACAAGGAAATAGTTTTTTTGGCCAACCAATTATTTTGAATTATCCTAAACTTTTTGCATTTTAATGTTTGTAAAAGTAACCATTCACATTATCAAATACGTTGTGCCAATTATACCCTCCACAACCTGTTAGGCTGAAGGGTGTCATGCCCTTTTTACCGATGCCATCTAGATCCAACATAAATGATTTGTTGTTTTACCTATAAAGATTTGGTATTAGGGTATGGGTTTTGAGTTTACCGCCAGCAAAAAGCTCACAAAACCAACACATATTTGATTTTTACCATTGGTGAAGTTCCACCGCCGACACATTACTGCCGACAAAAAAAGAAACATGGTGCGGTGTTTACCAACGATAATGGTGTATACGTATGTTCATCACCGGTAAAACTTGCATGACACCGTGCAGCCTTATAACTCGTTTCTTTGCCACCATGGGGGCATGGTACATATATGGCTCAAACATGGCAAATACGATGATGTTTGGCTATATATTCATTTAAAAAAGCATCGGCTTCATCTTTATGCCTTCTTCAAGAATTCATTATAAAAACCCCGATGCAATCATTTTCTTATTTTTCAAATGTCTGAGGTTGAAACTCTCTATAAGGCTCGATCTCAGTTATTTATATTGATTTTTATTTTGATATGCATTTATATATCATTTTAATATGATTACTTAGATTTTACTTTTACGAATGCTTTATATACAATATTTCATCTAAAGTTTATGAAGAAATTTTTAGCCTATATGTTGTTAGTTCACCTGTTTATAGGCTCTTTAGCTTTTAGCCCATTAGTGTTTTTTTTAGCAAGTATTTATTCTCCTCTTTTTTTTTTTTAGCATTCATGTTTTCTATCAAAAACACTTTTAACCACTCTTTTTCAATAAGAATATGCCTCAATTATCATGGTATCAGAGCGGATGTTTTGTATGTTAGAAGGTTTTGTAGCAGTCATATGTGATGTGTGTAATACCCAGAGACATCACAGGTATTTTCCTTGTTGATCCAAAAGTGTGTGTATATATATATATATGTTGCAAGATTGGTCCTTACGCCATGCGTACTTGGGGCGTACGCATGGCGTAGCTCATTAAAAGTGGTCGTGGGTGCATGAGAGTATGTCGGGCGTACTCATGAGTACGCATGGCGTACTCAGCAGATATGCAAACCCTAATTTTTAGGGGTTGAACGCTATTTAAGAAACCTTAACCATCAACACCCTTTCCACCTCCAGCCTCCATCCTCCCAAAACGACCCCTTGCAATGAAAGATCTAATATGCTCAAGAGTCATATTAGAATGATATTGCTAAGTAACATATGATACTAAGGGTCACACTAACAACAACTTGATACAATTGATTATTTATTAGAAATTGATTTTAATAAATATTCATAAACTCTTATAATAAATTGGGAAAATATTTATTTCATGAAAATAATTATTTTACAATAACAACTAACATACTATTTCACATGGTATGAATTAATAAGTCATGTACAACCTTTTGGACTAGTTGAGTCTTTTGTCTTTTACCTAAAGATAAAATTTATATTTTAGAAACTTGGGTTTATAAAATTCAAACTATTTCTTCTCTTTTTTATACCCAAAACCGTAGCTTCCTTCTTAAGAAGGAAGTGATGGTCTTTTGATTAAAATAAGGAAAAGAATGCATGGGTTGGAAGCATATGGAGACAAGTAGCTTTAAGTGCATGGAGTGCTTAATGGGTTAAGGACGCGTGGGGTAATATTCTTGCTTTATGAAGGCTTTAGAGGCTTTCATTTGCACACACACTCTTGCATGCATTTTTGTTGAAAATCTCTCCTCTATCTCATTCTTTTACCTTCTTGCAAAGTGTTGAAGAGTTAAAAGTTACTTGCATACTCTCTTTAAGTCATACCTTTGTTTTGACATAAAGCTTAAGAGTTGTAACTAGCATTACATCAAGTTGATCAATTGTTTGTGTCTTTTGGTTCCACATTCTTCATCAAACTCAAGCCTCCCAAGAGGACTCAAGGGACAACAAAGGTTGTTATCATCTTCCTTCTTCTATGGTTGTGTTTTTATCTTTCCATTACTTGCAAGAAGATCCTTGGTGGGTTGTAATTTGTTATTAAGTTCGAAATGTACAAGACTTTCGTTGATAATATTTTGAGTTTTTGGAAACTATTTTTGAACAAAACCCAACAATTGGTATCAAGAGCCACCTTGCAAGTATGGTTAGATTTTTTGATTTATGGAAATCTTAGTTTTTGGAGAATATGGATAACATTGTTTTGTTTAAAAACAAGTTCATACATATTTCTTTGACAACTTTTTTAATTGTTATTTTTATGACAAAAACTTCATGCATTTTTTTGTCACTTTAAGTTGTCTTAGAAAAACAAAAGTTCTTTTATGATTATATGTATTTTAGAGTGCATAAACAAGCCTTGGACCATTTGTATTGTTGTTTGTCTGATTTTTTGAAAATGGTTTGTAATATTCTTTTATTCATAAAAGTATGTAATAAAGTAGCTAGGTTTTATTCTTGTCATTTTTACGTAATAGATTAGTTTTAGACTAGATTTATTTTATGGAAAATGTAACAAGATGAATATGGAGGCCATTTTTGAAGTCTACAATTGGGGGCCATGGTTTTATAAGGTTTTTATAAAAGTTCATAATTTTTATAAAAATCTTATAAAATTGCACAAATTTGGTTGTTATTGCAAGTGGGAGTTTGAAGATCACATGAAGAACTTGTATTATTTGGTCCCTTCGTTCCCTTAGGAAGGACTTAACACTTTTGTGTTTGCTCACGAAAGGGTTGTGCCAACCCATTTTTTTTCTATCTTGTAAACCATTCAATTCAATCAAAGTCAGACTCGTTTCTGTTATCTTTTAGCACTGTTTAGGGTTCGTTTAAGTGTTCTAAGCTTAAGTGCAATCAAGGTTGAGATTAGGGATAAGTTAACAAAGTCGTAAAGTAGCATTTCGGGCCATACACTCCTACAGGAGGAGTGTACAGCCGTACACATGGGTGTACGGTCGTACAGCCCCCTCATGGCCGTACACTCGAGGTGGTCGGTCACCCACCCTATATATATGGGTGAACCTCATTTCCTTCATCCCTTTCTTCCCTTGGCCGCACACTACTCTATTTTCTCTCAAGCTTCTTCAACCGTGAACCTTCCACGGCTTCAAAAATGTAAGTATCCCATCCTTTAGCTTGTTATACTTGAAAGACCTCTCGATTCAAGCCTTGATTCATCATGTTTCAACATGTTCTTCATCCCTTGAAGGGAGTACGGCCGTACACCTTCATAAGGTTGGCCGTACACACCTTAAAGGCCCTCCAAAGTGAGAGTTTAGCCCCTATCATCTAGTTGGACATGCTAAACATTTGATCCTAGCCTTGATTCACCTTGAAATTGTAACACCGTAAATTTTCAAGACAATTTTTCTTTTGAAAAACATATGATTCTCAATACACATTTTCATAAATCATCATTTGATTAGTTTACAAAACACAATCCCTTGTTAATTACTTAATAATCCAGGATCTTCGAAACATAATTCTTTCACTGGTGTGTACAAACAAGTCGGTGCCGTCCCGAGATACTGAGAACACCTGAAACACATAACACATAACACGGTAAGCACGAAGCTTAGTGAGTTCCCCAAAATACCACATATAACACATATTAGCCACTCGAGGCTATAACTCTGTGGGCCCACTGGCCCTAACTCTGTGGACCCTCTGGTCCTAACTCTGTGGACCTTCCGGTCCTAACTCTGTAAACTCTGGAATAAACACAACATAAATCACATAGAAATAATGCAGTGCAACACATCACATACATAGCATACAAGATACTATGTCACATAACTCTACTTACCACTCAAGGTAAAGTATAGTGAGAAGACTCACC